CCCTTTTCAATTCTTTGGTTTTATAATTTCGAATAGGCGTGATGTACAGGAAACGCGTGTATTATTCGGATACGCGCGGTGCTTATATGTGAATACGAGTGTACAGGGTTTCTACATTGATTGCGAAAAATAATGTAATACAAACGGGAAATTCGTTTCTAACGCGTTTCACGGGCACTGTCTGTGCCGTACCGTTCGAAGTAATTAACTCGAGTGTTCGACTTTGAGCGTTCAAAAAAGGGGTTCAAATGCAGAGTATAATAGATACGAGTGTCTGAGCGAAAATTTAATTTCACACGTGTTCTGACGGATGTATTTGGCGTAAACCCGGCCGTTTTAATAACAACGGAAATTCGGTCTCTCTCGGCGGAATCGAAACAAAAAAACAAGTCACTATCGAAACCCTTAATAATACGCGCGTCGTGCACATCAAACGCGACACATTTCATTATTGTGTATTATTATTGTCGAAGACGGGTTTTAGAACGAGTTTTAATATTCGTTGTACCGTGTGACGCGTGCTTTTTTCCAATTTTTTTTTTTCCAAACGCGTCTCCGAATAAAACTGCCGCACAGTAGATAGGATCGGATCGGAAACGTGCGTCGGGTCGAATCGGAACCGACGAGAATATTTCGACAGATTCCGGGTGCTCCGAACTTCACCAGTATTCGTCACTTGCCTATTGGTTCTCGAAACCCACGTACTTTTGATCGTTATTATTGCATATTATTATATATGCATATTATTCCTAACCTAACGTTACAAATTATTATATTAGAATTACATTACGTATTTAGAAACATATAATCCTAAAGTATAATGCATAGGAAACATGTGTTTATGATATTTTTTGCCTGCCGCGGGTGTACGAGTTTTAATGTTAGGATACTCTGTACACTTCGGATAATAGAGAGCTCGTACAACGGTAGTTGGGATAATTACTAGATTCTAGATAGATAGATAGATAGATTCTACGATATTAAGGACAAAAAAAAATGTTACAATGTATATTTTTTTAATAATGATTTCGACATGGACGTACATAACAATTATATACTATGCACACAATATACTACACGATTAACACGATTAAAATGGTAACGTGCCGGCTGCTTCTAATACTACCAAACGTAGAACTTCTGAAAATACTAAAAAAAAAAAACCTTTGTCAAACGATTCGACTTGGGTAAGGTCGACAATCACGCAGAATCGCTTTGCGAGTTTGTCAATAACCCCCTCCACCCCCTAAACATTTTGGACTATTTTCACCTATGATAATCGGCAAACTCATAACACTTATTGTATAAATATTTAAAAGAATTAATATGTAGGCGGCGCGATTATGATCGTCAGGCATGGCATAAGCGACAAGAGCAAAATGCCGTAGAATTTCGGTTCGGTGTGCGGCAAGCTTATATATCTTTGTAATGTGAAAAAAACGTTTTCAGCCTAAACCGATTAAAACCGTTTTCAGTCATAACATACTAGTTAAAGCTCGTTTCACACTTGTATACGGTACGGCCAGTGGTGGCGCCAGGTTCTGCGAGGCCAAAAGTCATATATTCCAGAAGGCCCTGAAAACGCCATATAAAAATCAATAGTAAAAATCAAAAATACTAATTTTACTCTCTTCTCATAGTATTTAATTGTAGTTATTTAAATATATTTTTATATGAATAATAAATGCAGACAATTGCTCACATTTAATTGACTACTCACTACTTTTAAAATTAAATTCAGCATATAATAGTTAAACATATTTTGATAAAATAAAACTGTTACTTTTTTCATGCGTGTCACCAAAGTCGCCGAGGTCAAAGTAAATAAACACACAAAATTCAACTCTAATTCCGAAAACATCAAAAACTCTGGGTCAGGTACTTTTTAGGAGTTAAATTACTAGATAAAAATAAAGATGCTCATACTGGGGATGGGTGTGCACTCTTGTAAGTGGAAAGTTGAGAAGTTAAGATACATTAAATTATTTATTTTATATTTTTAAACAACGATAAACCATTGCTAATAAAAAATACGAACATTTTAATCTCGTATAAAAAAAAAAACATTACATTCAGCTTTTTATTTTTAACTACTAAGTACGAATTGTAATAAAATTTCTTTTGAATTTTTAGGTATTCTGTTTGGTCAAACAATTTTATCCACAGAGTACCACAAAAAAATTACGTAAAATACTAGCAAATTTAATATGCCTATAAATGGCTCAAAAATAACTTAAATGTTTAGAACCTTTTACCACGTTTAGACAAGATAAATATAAGTTTTTTTTTAGTTTTCTGTCCAATTTTCAAGTTTCCACGAATATTTTTATATTTTTAACTCAATTACAACAAAAAACAAAATAGAAAATAATAAAATCATTATTTCCGTATATTTTCTCGTTCTCACTACGTTTTTTTTTGGTTTCGCTCAATTATTTAAAAAAAAACTACATTCTTACTCACTTACAAGATCCAAAATGGAACAAAAATAATCTCTTATCGTTTATTTATTGACGATATTTCCGATAGAAAACAAAGTAAAAATTTAACATAATAAAACCGTAATGCCGTAAATGTCTCAGTTTTATTATAGTTTTTATTTTACGTTTTTTTCCAGTTTTTCGTAACAATTATGATAACTACTTTCTTAATCACAATTTACATTGAAAATGCAACAACAATTGTGTAACCAATGAATAAAAATGTATGCAAATAGCAAATAATTGTTCTTCTTATATATCTACCGACAAGCGATTATTTATATTTTATCAACTATAAACCTTATACTTTAAAAAAAAAAAAGCCAAATGGTTAAGGAAAAACCACTTCAAACCATTTCTTGGCAAATTTCGAAGATAAACATAAAACATAAAAATAAATTGCACATCATGCATTCCATTAAACGCTTCTGCACGACTAACGTACCTATACGATTGTTATTTTTGTCAACAATTAATATCTCTTTTTAATATGATTTTGGTTTATTTAAAAAGCCTTTGTTATACATTTTCGCTGTGAAGAACTTGGGAATATATGGTGCAGCCTTCTACAGATGACCGTTTTCCAGTCTTGAGCGACACTGTGGTTAATTTAATATTTTAAAGAGGTCAGTAGATTCATGGACGAACATATGGATGGCATTCTTCTCAAGTTGCCCTATTGGTCTCAACGAGTTGTGAGGATAGACATACTAACAGCATAAAATATAATTATATATACCTACGTATGGTATGGGTAAGAAAAACAACTCAAACTACTGCATTACTCATGGTTTTTTTTTTTTCAACAATTGCTAATAAGAAATTGTAAACATTTACAGTTAAAAAGATTTTATGATAATTAAAAAAAATTAAATCAGTTTTGGTATTAGTATTAAAGAACCTGCGTAATTAAGAAATTATTAATAATAGTAGTAATTAGTAATTAATAATTAGAAAAAAAAGCAAATCTTTGGATAACTAATAGCTTTTTCATTTTAATAATCCATTTTTACTATTAAATAATTATTAAAAATTTTAAAAAAATTATAAAAACTTATACCTTATAAAATACTATTTTCTACCATCATATTTTAACTTCATAGTTTTATCAATAGCAAGTCCAATTTTTAAACTTTCTGTTGAAAATCTGGTTTTCAAACCTGAAATAATGCTACCAAGTGTGCATTTATTTTTATCGATTTTTTTAAAACAAAACTTAGATAGTTAGACAATTATATTTTGTATATACTTTCAAATAAAAAGGGTTATGGGAAACCCGCTTTTTTTACATACAAATTTTAAAGGGGAAGATTTAAGAAATGTTGAGGGGGTTATAAGAGATTTTTAAGGGAGAGCAATATCCAACTTAGACTTCTGCATCCTATATATTCCTACACCCATGTTATAGGATAGACTAGCAGTTTCTACCTCTAGTTAATGCTACCTAATGACTAGCAGTACAGAATTGTCCCTGTTGAATGAAAATTTGTTATGTCGTGTAATTATAGAATGACGTGCACACGTAAGTATCGTGTCCTTTTAAAACGACAATCGAAACTAAACGCGACTTGCCATCAGTTTCTTTCTGGAAGCCCAAACCACGCTGAACTAATCTATGGTACTCCACTATGCTCCCTCCTAGTGTTATAGGTATTCCGTATAGCATAAATAGGATTATAGTAAATAAATATATAAATAAAAAATAAATAATAAATTAATGTGTCGCCTGGAGTATTATAATAAGTGTATAATACGACTGGTTTTGAATAAAAAATTCATCATCACAGTCAAAATGTAAAACGCGACTGAATATAAAAAAAATAAATGAATACACAAAAAAAAAAAAAAATTATACGAATTGTTTGTTGCATATAGAAATAATTTATTATAACAGGAGAGATTATTTAAAACGGGTTGTTATTGATACAAATATAAATATTTTTCGTATAAAAGTGGTCTAAAAACGTATATAATGCACGTATATTATACGTGTTATTTTCGTCCAATACATGTAATGGTACATGTTCATCAAACGTAAAATATCCCTGAATTATGCCAATGTTGATAGAAAGTGAGGCGTTAAGTTGGCGTTCATTAAAATGGATTTGTACAATATTTTGAATGGCAAATATCAATAAATGTATGTCGAGAATCAATATTTTGTGATAAACGATGAAATTATTGTATAAAATACTAAATTAAGAATCGAATAAAATAGTATGGACATCCAAATTACAGATAGAAATTGTTTAACGTGGGCTTAAAGATATTGTACCGTTTCGCAATGTTATAGTTAATATGAAATTTCAGTTTAAATACAAAATTTAAAATTCAATACAATAATTCATTTTTAATCGATTGTTTGTATTTATACAAATTGTATAGGATATATATATGCCTTTGTCAGTCTTTGCTTCACGAATCAGTGTTTTTGTATTTTCAACTACCGTGTTTTTATTCTCTCCCATTAGGTTCAGATCGTCTGCAAAACCGAGTACATCAATATGGTTTTACCTATATTCATTCCGAGCTTATTGCTTTGTATCTTTCTCTTATGTTGAACAGTAATGGGGACAGCGCATCACCTTGTTTGAGCCCAATCATCACTTCAAATTCTTCTGGCAGTTTACCGTCTACACTTACTTGACATTTGGTCCTATTCGTGCATATTTTTGTCAGTGATATGAGTTTTTCGGGAAAACCAAATTCATACATTATATTATACAGGCTATTACAATGAACACTATCGTGTGCTTTCTTGAAACCTACGAACACCTGCCATACGTTCTATTTATACCCATACTTCTTTTCTAACAGCAGATCAATAGTAGTAATTTGGTATATTGTTGAGTTTTCTTTTCGGAAATCGCATTGGTAATTTTTTATGCATTCTTCAGCTATTGGTTCCAATCCTTCTAGTAAGATCTGGGAAAATCTTTGTATTCTCTGTATTCAATAACGATATTCCTTTATAGTTATTACAGCTCAACTTATCACCTTTCTTGTATAGGGGGATTACCGTAGCTTTGTTCCATTCATCTGGTAGTTTATTTTTCTTCCATATATGTTTGTACAACTCATACATCGCTTCATGTAGTTCTTTGCCGCCATTTAAGTTCAGCAATCGTCCTATTTGACCCAAGGACTTTCCGATTATTGAGTCGGTAAATAGCTCTCTTAGTTTCATCAAGTTTTAAATCATCTACTTTATGTTCCGTGATTTGGTCTTCCCAGAGTGGTATTGGTGTTTCTGGAACCTCCCCATTCAGCAATTCTTCGAAATACCCTTGACATCTAGATGTTTTCATTTTCGGATCCATAAGTATAATACTGTTTTTATCTTTTATAGCTTTTAATATTCGGTTGAATTTCTAGTTCTTTTTAATTGATGCAAAAAAAAAATTAAATTTTTTCCGAAACCCTCCACGACGATTAAAAAGAAACTGGTGTAGAGATCTTCTAAATGAATAACGGCGGGAGGGAAAAAGAAGAAAAAAAAAAATGTTAATAATAATTAAAAAAATATATAGTTGCACATATATTTAAGCAAAAAGAAGTGCGATCACTGGATGGTTTCTTCCCTCACCCTATTCATGTTTATTTTTAATATAATGTACCACATATTCTTATTATGCCTTTGGGTATAGATTGTATATTCTATAATAAAATGTTAAAAAAAAAAAAAAAATTTTTCCGAGTATAGTCTTGAACTGCTTTTTTTAGCAAGTAGTTTATGTACTTTCTTTTTTCTCTCTGTTTCAGTTTTTACACCTCTTTCGCTCTTTTTCGAAAAGTTCTTGGGATTCTGGTATTTAATATAATCTCTTTTAAACTGCATTTTTTCATATATTGCTATACCAACTCTTTGTTTGGTTTCTATGCTCGCCCAATGTTTTTTCCGCAGCTTTTATTATAAAATGTCTTATTGTCTCCCATACGTCGTTTAGGTCGAGTTTTTCTGTTTGGTTTATCTTTAGCTCTTTTGTGAGTTCTTCTACGTATTTCATATTTTCTCCTTCATCCTTAAGTAACTCCATTCTGAACTTTGGTACTTTGTTAATAACAATTAATTAAAGTAACGATTATTTTACGGGATTTTCTAGCCGTCAAAAATATCATATCAATAATTAATCTATCTAATTCGAATGTATCCAGAAGTTACCAAACTTAGGTAATTACCAAACCTTAAATTGCAAATACTCCTGGATTTTAATAGAAAAGGTTGACCGACAATTAGATCATATTCATCGATTTAATACATATTAATATAGTAAGCTATTAGTAATATTATTAATAATTCAATTAATATTAATTAGGTATATTTTTCTATTCAATAACAAAAATGATGTGCGCACATTCTGGCATAACATTTCATTATTATAACAAACTCGTATAGCATCCGAGAGTGAATAATCTGGTGGACAATCATCATTGGCTGACACTGGTTTTGCGTCGGTGGTTGACATTATATACAATATAATAAACTATAGGAAAACTATTAAATAATTTAACTTCATTTTGAAACTTGCCACTCGAAATAATAATGTGACCACTTCAATCGGCTATTTCGGTTGCTTGGTACTTGAATCGTTATCGAAAAAAAAAATCGAAAAAAGATCGAACCGAAGCAATATTGAAAAATGTTGGTATTTTTATGATCGTTTAGTGTTTGTTAAATATTTTTGGTCAATAATGATAACTGTTGATATTAACCTTATTTTTGGATGATTAAATGAATTCAATTTTTTTACTCAGGTTCCAACCGTAGGTCCTAAAATGATTAAAATAAAAATAAATTCATTTTCCGTTTTACGACGAGTAAACATTTTACATGAGTGTAATTAAACACAATTATAATAAATTTGATTAAATTCTGGCACATTTTTAATAGCAAGTAATGATGGTTTATTTATTACTACAGTCAGTGGACGATATTCATCGTCAACGGCTTTAATACAAATTATTTAATGAATTTTATATTAAATAATAGGCTTAGTTGGTTGAAATAGACTATCTGGGTAGGGTCATAAAGAAGTTCCCTAGTGTTCAAGTGAATTTTTTACTGGGATTTTGGAGGGTGACAATAAAAATTAAGGAAAAAAGTGACTAAGAATTTAAGAACACCGTATTAAAAATAAAGGTGTTGGTTTGATTCCGATTGAATGCATTTAAGACGATATTAGAAAGACGCAATTCCAGCACACTGTTGAATGCCGAGTATAAGCAAAGCATTCCGAATCAGTGATTGTATTTAATGAACATTAAAGCAAAGAAAATAAATATAAAAGAAAAGAGGTAATCGAGAATTATCACTTATTGGTGTATTATATTTTCGGCATTTCATTTCGTTTATTAGTTACAACTAAAAGTTCACAACACACACACACACACACACACACACACACACAATCTGTAAAGCTTTCCTGGCAAGGTTTGAGACCAAAGCCATTAAAATCACGGAATAGACTCATATGCGTACAACTTTTTGTACAATTCAATGGCCACGGTCCGTCGCGATTCGTCGGTGCCGATTCGTCGCCATTGGTTGACAATACAATATTATACGACACAACATACTGTAGGAAAACTATTAAACAAATGAACTTCATTGTAAAAAAAAAAAACTTGCCGCATAAAAAATAAATGTTACCGCTACACGGTTCCGAACGCGGTTATTTCGTTTGATTGTCGTCGCTTTCGGATTATTTTGGCCTACAAAACCATCGTCGTGGGCGTTTATCACTAATGTCGTTGGCGATCGACGATAGCTGCTATACGCATCGATAATGATATTACCGCTAATAGCAGATGACCGGATGAATACAATTTTTTTTTTTTACGCGAGTTTTGACTTGCATGCCCCGCGAGTAGACGGGCAGTATAAAAATTAAACACGTTTTCCGTTTAACGACGGGATAATATGTTTGTCCGAATCACTCGTTATTTTTTTTAAAGTCACCTACGATAAATCGGCTAGACAAATGAATTATTTTATATTTCATTATTATCACGCAGATTTCGATTTACATTCCAGACATAAAAAAAAAAAAAAAAAAAAAATATTAACACTATTAGGTACGCTGTATAATATTTATAGTGTATTTGCTATTTAACGAAGTGTAAACAATAATATTATGTACATCACGAGCGCATCCGCAGTCCACGCCATTTGAATAAATACGATTATATTTTGATCGTTAATAATATTGTTACGCAGACGATATTTCATCGTTAACGGGTTTAATTAAAATTACTTTTAACATGCTCTATTTTATTGCCGCTAGGGCCGCAAAATGTTTTAAAAGCATTGAATAAAAAATGTCCACATGTTTGAAACGTTTTGTACATCATTGTTCAAAAATTAAATTCAAATAATTAATATGTTTTGAAGAGTGAAGATATTTATATAGTTTCTTATTATCATTCTGAAAATATAAACGAAAATAAACAATGTCTACTGTATTTTTGAAAAAAGAAATATTTTTTTTTTTTCACTTGTAATTATTTTATTCTTGAACACGTTTGAAACATTATGGTCTGAATTCAAATATTTCTCTGGCGGAAAAAAACAATTATATTTAAGTGAATTATTATCATAGTAGCACACCGGGATATTGTTGAACAGTGCAGCGAAGACGGTACACGCGCGCACTTCGCTCCTTTATGTATACAATTTATCCTATTTATTTAGCGAGGCTTCTATCCATTACTAGAATGGTAATTGAAATGATCGTGGGTTTACGAAGGCGACCTAATTAATATACTAATCAATACAATCGCTTCAGGTTCAATGCATTTTGTAGTTATTAAACGCGGTTTTTGTAGTTTATAGTGTTCGTGGAGTTTAAAAGACAAATTTGGCCGAAAAATTAATGTTCATCGAATTAGTTATCATCGGTGTATCACTATTTCGTTTATTAGTGTTACAAAATGTGCACTCAAGACTATTTACCCTTTCACGGCACTCTTTTATACCACCAACACCGATTTATGAACGTAGCCTAATGTGCTGTTTACGGGTATATACATATATATATATATATATATATATATATATATATATACACGAGGTGTGGCTATTAAATAACGAGACTGCTCGCCTAGAGGGCGCCCTAAATGGGTAGTGAAAAAACGAATAATGCGTTGGGTATCTAGATATCTTATCTATGCACGTACCAAAACACGTTTTCGTCACTATTATAGTATTTGTGCGGTAGTGGTTTGGAACGAACGTGTTTTTTTATCGTGCCGAAAACCACGTGTGACGAAAAACATGAGCAACGGATAAACGTAAAATTTTCTCGTTAAACTAAAAAAAACTCCAACTGGGTGCTATAAGTTGTTAAAAGAGGCCTATAGTGAGGATTTCCTATCTCGGGCGCGTGGTTTTGAGTGGCATAAATTATTTTCTGAAGGTCGAGAGTGCACCGGAATCCAATTCAGTCGTAATCCTGATCGCTGATCGTTTTCTTCGATATCAAAGGCATCGTGATGACTGAATGGGTTCCAGAGGGTCAAACTGTGAACCAACATTACTATTTGACAGTTTTGGCAACATTGCGCGAATGAGTTCGTAAGAAACGGTCGATATTGTGGAAAAACAAGTCGTGGATCTTGCACCAGGATAAAGCGTGAAGCGTTATTTGGCCGCTTAAGGCACTCCAGTACTCGAACACGCGTCTTACTCACCCGACTTGGCACCCTGCGACTTTTACTNGGAATCCGGTTTGAGTCGATGGAAGAGGTGAAACGAAAATCGGCGTAACTCCTGAATGGTCTTACGAAAATAGACTTCCAGCACTGTCTCGAGCAATGGAAGAAACGAATGAAACGGTGTGTGGCGAGGGGAGGGGAGTATATTGAAGGAGAACATTTGAATGTAGAATAATTTTTATAATAAAACACTTTTTCGTAACCAGTCTCGTTATTTAATAGCCACACCTCGTATATTATAATATATTATTTATATACGCGTATTTAACCGTTTAAATATTTTAAACAAACTATGCAACTTGCCAATAGAAAAAAAAAATCAATATCACCTATTTCGATCACTGGTACATTGTAGTGATCGAATATTATTTTAATAATGTATACTGTTATATTAATTCACACGCTGGGATATCGGAAAGCAATGGACGGGGAAGTGCCCGAGACATGTATACTATATAATGGGCAGAACTTAAAAATAAGTATAACATTTATACAATGTTATAACCAAAATCGTTGCTTATGGAAAATTGAATGGAACAATAATTTAGAAACATGAAACATAACAGAATAACAACAGCATTATAATATTACGTTAATATCGAATTCGATTGGTCGAGATTCTACTTTGTGCCCCAGACGCGTTTCCACCAGTTTTTACTGTGGCCGAGACTAACGTCTCTCTGGAGTTCTTCATCATTCCCAGCGTCCGACAAGGTATTCAATTCCTCGGAAATCGACGGTTGGCCGAAGTCATGTTCAATTTGATTTTCCGAACTTTCAGACGTCCCGGCTAGCGGTTTAGATTTCACTCGGCCCTTTAAGTTTTTCTGCACACAAATAAAACATATTTTCCGAGATTTACCACGGGTTTCAAAGTGCTTCTAATACACAGAGGCCATTGACAAAAGTATATAATAGCCGTATAGTGTTTGAAACATAATATTCGAATATTCGAATATTAAAATTACGAACTATAAAAAATATATATATATATATTAAGTGGTGGTTACCGAAAAACATTCGATTCAATAACTTTAATACGCTTGACCTTACAGATTTAAGTTGCACAATATACCGAAATTCGGTGATTTGTATGTTTCCATCACATAATATATTATTATATTCGTGATAGGCGCACTTACTATTGTATAAGTATAATTATTGTACAAACAAGTATATGAACTTATATAGAACTAGATATTTTGAGTGACTGATGAGATTCTATTGGACAATGGTACGTGAATACGCGACGATTAAGTTTTAGAAAAAAAAAAAAAGTGGTTTTTTGGACGTAGAGCTATATATTACGATTCCCTCTGTTAAATTGAGCCATTTATTATACTTAAACGAAATACCCGTGTAACAGAGTTCCGCCTACTATATATTGAAATATTGTTTGCAAAATAAAAAATAAACGAACACTATTGGTACTATTTTAATATTACCTCTGTAAAATCCAAATAAAAAAAAGTGAAATACCTAATGACACAAATGGTAGGGGTGGTGTTTATAAGTTAAAACCTCCCACAAAAGTCACATCTTTGATATTAAAGTCGTGCATATACAAAAATGTCATGTCCCTGGTTTCATTTGAAGATTCTGTTGGTGTATAAAATGCTAAAAAAAAATACCCACAACAACACGGTTAAAATCATAATGAAATTCTACCAAACTTGTACAGCTTCAATCCGCCTACAAAACGACTCAGTTTCCTGAGTTTTAGCTCATTCGACGGACTAGAAGGATCCACCATAAATGCTCAAACGTAGTGGAAAAAAAAAACATAGGCATATATCTATATAACAGACCCGTTACAGTGAAATAGTATTTATTTTTGGGAGAAATTTGACAATAGCACAATACAGATGGAAGATGGCAATATTATATAGGTACTCACGAAAAAACTGGTCATTCTGCCGGAACGGTTCTTCGGCTTGGCCGCGTCCGAATCTTTCGGGTCTACGTTGATATTATTGGCGCGACTCCAGCGAGCCGGCAGCGACGTGTACTTGCGATTCATTACTTGCGTGAGCTTGTCGGATTTTTCCGGCGGAAAGGCCGGACAACCGGTCTCGACATCCATAGCGTCGGTTTCCGGCGATTGGATATCATTCATCGTCGTTTCTGCAGCGAACATCAAAAACCTCTCGACCGCGAAACTCTTAAAGTCAATATAATAAATTTAAGCGCGTCGTACAAAATACGTTATACTTACACGCGTATACACTGTACACTTTTAATAACTACTGAATAGTAAAGTATAAAATGTATTATTGGTGTTACCTGTAGCAACGAATCGATTAATAAATCAATAATTTAATAAAGGTAGGTGTACCATTTCAGATAACAATACATTAACGATTGATTTAGTATCATAGGGATGAATCGATAAATAAATAGTAATAATAGTAAAAATAAATTGAAAAATACCATACGAATGGTTTACCAATATTTACTTGTTTTCGACAATCGGTTAGGTTAGGTTAGGTTGTACTCTCGTCTTCGTAATAGACCGAGTTCTGGTAATACGATTGTAATGTGCAAAAAATAGAACTGTCACAGCAAAAGCAACAGACTATACTTACAATAAACACTACTTAATAATCACCAAGAGAACGAATGTAGGTAGATAATTCAGCAGTATCGCGATGTGAAGTTTCGTTTTAGATTCTGACTGAAGCAAAGATTATATTAGTTCTATGTGTATATGTATGCTTTTTTTTTCTTTCTGTCTGTAAACGATTTTTCTATACAACAACTATTATTTTTAAAATCTGATACTGACTGATAGTAAATTCAGTGTAGTTGTTGAGAATGTTAAATTTTAATTTTTCTTGTAGTTTTCTAAATAATTAAAAAAAAAAAAAAAAAAAAAACCAAGAAAGTTTCAATAAAAACGGTATCTATTATTGTCGATTTTGTTTTTGTAGCTTAATTAGAAATAATCGTAAAGACTTGAAAGTTTCATTGAATAATATGTTTTCACTTTGAATTCGTCTTCATAGGAAGCATTCAAAAATTCAAACATAAATGTTATTCAATCCTTCCAATCAATCTCCTTTAGAACATTAACTAATGCCCCTTGGTTTATAAGTAATCGAACCCTTCACAATGACCCAAACATAATGACCATCCTCTATCAAGCATCTAAATTCTATAAACAATTCCAAAATAAACTACTCGATCATTCAAATCTTCACATATCCAATTTATCCTCCCTAGACCTTCCCGATACAACCCATCGGTTAAAGAGAAAATGTTCCACGGTCTTTTATCACCCACACTTGATTATATAAAAACAATAATAATATTAATAAGTTTTGAGCTCAGACTAGACTACTTTAATGTTATTACTACTTTTGTATATATTGCAAAGTAATATCACTAGATATTTCCTCTATTTACGTTCCACTTGACAGGTTGTTTTTTCTTTTTCCCCATGATCAAATTTACTTTTCGCTTTTTTAAATATTAAAAATATGAATACGATACGATAAATCGTTAGAATATTTTTATTTAATTTTAATACGAAACCATATAAACATAATATGTAAAATATGCAATTTTAATGATGATAATACTCAAGAAAATTGTTCTTGATTTTGCATTCTTTTTTTTTTTTTTTTTAAGCAGAGTAAACTATTATTAACCCATATAGTCCAAATTTCTTCGCCACGTTATCCCAACAACGATTGAATGGATAAAAATGTTTAGGATAGAATTATTAAAAAAGGCAATATTTATTTATATCGCTGATTGTAGGGAACAGGATCGAGAGTCGCATTATGAAGGCGAAAACAAAAACACAAAACGATATTGATAATTACCAATGATACTCTTCTATATTGTACACAGAAATAATATAATGAAGTATTAAAATATTGCAACCTTTCATAATCGTCTACGTTCTCGACTAGGCAATCGGTACCTGCTTCCGACTGGTTGCGCTGGTACTCTACCCGGGGGCACCGGCGGTGCTATTGTCGGCACCGTGGGCGATACTGCAGGTTGTCCAGGCGCTATTGGTGCCATTAATGGTGGCACCGGTATTACGACACGTGTTTGGACATTACGTCCATCTTCAATAACGAGCATCACTCGTGCAGTCTGCAGCAGTCCCTCCATAATCCTTATAACATATCAGAAACATTGTTGTCTTTAGTGTAATATAAAATACTGTTATTATGGTTTTTAACATGAAAAACAAGTTTGCTGTTAAAACCAACATATTTTTTAAGGATAAAATAGTCACGCGGTTCTTTTTTCTTGTCTTTCGATTTAGTACTGGCAACATTTTTTATATTGTCCGTATTGTTCAACAGTAAAAACACACTATTTCTGTTGTCACATTGACGCTTCAATAACTCGGCATTAAAGCTACTTGTAAATCTTTCATATTGCGTACTCGATTCTCCAATCACGAGGCACGTCATTTTGTGACTGTGACTGAAATGTATACATGCAAATTGCAAATAGACTCTAGAAAATAATGAAATAAAATCCACGTTATCTCTCAATAATCGACTCTCCATTAAATTAATCGATATTAAAGATTAATATAGATATCGTGTACGTTAGAAATACGAGAAAACATTCTAAAAATAACTCTAAAAATAAAATAATTTTTTTATAAAAAATAACTAAAATAAATATTCTTGTGACGGTATAAACATTTTGAATGATTTTTAATGTCGACAAGATGCATTCGATGCATCACCTATATATTGATTGGCATTTCGTATAATGCCTAGATCATTTAAACAATTGCTTAGATTGACTACTATACTTGGCATTATCTATATAGAATTCCTTAACATTATATAAACAGCTATGATTATATAAATTAATTATATCACCATTAACATGTTACATATACCTACGTTACGTTAGAAGAACATTTTTTTGATTATTTTCAAGCGAAACCATTAAAACATATGGAAAATGGAAAATATTAGTGAAGACAATTTGTATTGTTCTTGCAGTCCTGTTTTGGTTTTGAGGCAACACGAAAACGTATTTATTTAATATATTGCGAAAAATAATTTTATAATTATATATGTCTGTTTCATTTGAAATCTGCTCTTACTTTTCATTCGCTAACAATGCACTTTGCAGTTTAATATGTATATTTAATTGAATATTAGTAATTTCTTCAATGTTTATGCCCCAGAATTCCTCATTATGTTTACATATTCTATACGATGAATTAAATAATTTTGCTAGAGAATTCTAAGACCGATCTAACATGGGAGCAGTATAAAACCTTTAAACATATATTATTTTTAAAATTAAAACAATTACGTTTATTTAATAAATCTTAGAACACGTAATGCTTTACTATTGTAAAGCTAAAGCTAAAGCTTTACTACTTTATTATTGTATCGATATGGACATTAAATTATAAGTCGGAAGACAATTAACACACCCGAATCACGAATAGTAGTCGTGTAATTTAAGGGGAAACCATATATCATAGAAGAAAGGATAGATTTATTCTTTTGACAAGGGATATAAATACATTTTCATTTCTCGGCATTTATTACCGAAATCTTTTTTGAAACACTATTTCGAAAATTTGTCGAGATCATTTTGAAGCAAAATAGAGTCATTCACAGAATTTATTGGTAAATAAATTTTTAAGTCATCAGTGAACAATAGATACTTACATTTCAGTTCACGTAGCTCAGAGGCCTCGGACATTTTGGTAATCGACTTTAAATACATTACAGGTAATATTAATCTTATTCCTAGAATAAACAATACAATTATTTTTAAACTTTATATTAGAGTACACTTTATTAAAATTTAAACTCCTTTTTAAACAAATTTTTTGAAAAAGATAAGAAATACATCTGTGATATTTGTAGTTATTCTCTCCTTGATACCTTTTTCTTTACAACTCCGATCTTAATGACTCATATGATGCTGTTCTATTTTCCGAAATTGAAACATACCACCAACATTCGAACGAACGCAGTTTAGATTTAGTTTTTAAAATGTCAAATACATTTGAAGGAGAGTCTAATTTCATCAGAATAATACGATTCCTTACACCGAATTTACCCAAGCGTTTGCTACGAGTAATCTTAAAAGTTGGTAAAGATGTCTTCCTGAAAGTCTTCATATTCAGAATCGCGAAAATTAAATGCTGGACTATTCTTTTCCCTCGACAGCCGATCCTTAACTTCATTATAAACGTCAAAATTGTAAGGTTAAGATTGCATATTAGGAGAATTTTACCCAATTTGACAAATTTATTTCGAAGTTAATTCAGAGGTTAATTCAGATTCAACAACTATTTTGTTCCGATTTTAATTGAGATACCTCCTTGTGTAGATCATTCAGTGCAGACTGCAAAAAATGAAAGTTACTTTCTAATTTTCAGAGATTGGTATTGAGATTCTTAAAATGCCCATCATGAGATAATACAGTAGAATTCACTACGGCTAATAAATTTCAAACATCAGAAACAGTAGATTCTTTATGATATCTTACAATAAATAAATACCTCGATAAATAAAAACAAGTTACCTCGTATGAAGTACTGGACAGATACGAAATTAAACGGCGATAACGTTAGACGATTAAATTATATTTACCTTGCGCTATAATAGATTATACGTAAGGCGTAAGACGGTATAAGGACGGTCGATAAACGGAATAAGATAAGCGAACGAACGCGTACCGCACGTCGATCATGGGCAAAGACCAGTACCGTACTACTGCAATATTAGTATATAATAATATATAATGTTGTATAAATTATTAATAAATGCTTTGAATTACAATTTTGTCTCGAACCAAAAGTTGTCACATAAAACGAATATATTGACGGTATTACCCATAGATAATGATATATTGCGGTATGAACTATAAATGTGGTATAACCATGGTTGTACTATCAACTAATTAGTTTTCGATAACAATGAAAATAATACCATAAACTGATTGTATTTTAGGTGATTTTTTTTTTTGCTTGTTTATATTATGAAAAAAAAAAATTGATCACCTTTAAAAATATCGAACATCGAAAAAACATGAAAGTTTTCCTCGAAAATCTGATGTATCGACAGCGTCGATGTTCAAAAATGTTCTCTAACCAGTAGTCGGTACATGTTTACAGTTATTGTACATGCGCCCCTAATCGGTTTCTATCTACTGATCTACTCGTCTAATCTTAATCTTCATTTTACAATTGAGTAGAAAAACCATAACACGTTTACGAAAACACTGAGAATACCCAGATATAACAGATATTATTTTACTTCGCCTGAGCTATTTATCACAATTTTTCATTCGAGTTAAAGGGACCTACAATACATGGCGTGTTATGAGAATTTCTGGGGGGAATAAAAAAAAAGCTGTCAAGCTTTTCGAGTTATCGCGACTCGACTGTAATTAATTACCTACAAGAATATTTTGAACACTATTTACCTACAACACCTAAATACCTAAGCACATTTTACCTAAAACTTAAGTTTATAAAGAATAGACAAAACTTAACTATCTATTTTAATTATTTATAATATACCTACCTAATTTTTGTAATAACATTCTAATATTTTGTTTTACATTGATTTTAATTAAATTAATTTTAACATTTTTTAGTACTTGTTTAAATATTTTTTTTTATCATTTTCTGGTTGCATGCTGTATAGATAATTTCACATTAAAAATGTATATGGTTTTGCATATTAAAAATATATATATATATTAAATTGAAAAGCATTATGACTTTTAAGTACCAACTATTTTATAAAAAATGGTTAATTTAAAATTGTTAAAAAAAAAAAATCAATAATTTGTAAACGTTGGAAGTACGACACATTGATAAAATAAAGGTAAACATGGATGAAACACCTAGGTATATCTTCAATATAAGTATTCTGTACGACTAAAAATTTAAATAGAAGTTCCCTTTCAATATTTGTGTATTATTAAATAAAACTACTAACATTTATATTAAAACATACGTATATTTATAATTGATTATTCAAAATCACAACAATTAATATGAAATTATCAAAACTATGGGGGAATCATGTCAAAGATTGACCCAAATGGTTCGTTTAAGATTTTACACATGCGCATGTACCATGTAAATTATAAAATCAGCGTTTTATAAATTACAATGTTACTCGAATGTTAATTTGAGTGTTTAAATGTTGTGTAGTAACTCGAAAATAAGGGGAAAAAGGATTCAAGAATACAAAATAAAATTAGTCACTTTTTAGTAACACAATCTTAGAATAAGTTTGTATTAATTATAAAATCCTCACATTATTTGCGATAATACAAAGAATAAATAATTTCTAAATATATCAAAAGTTGTAACTATCTTCCTCCTGATGTTTGGAGGGGTGTATGTTGCTCGGAGTTGTGAATCCAAGAATAGTGACAAATTCAATAAATTAGAAATATAATATCGATTTACCTGCCCACGGTGTTGGAACATTAAGGTACCTGTAGATATCCTTATATGATCCTGGAGTCGTCGGGTCAAAATTTAATTAAAATATCTTATGTTAAGTATTAAACACTTATATTTTATTTAACTTTTTTATAGGAATAATTATGAGGGTACCTAGAGTAGGAGTATGACGACGGCGGTGTGATTTACAGTCGTATAAATCTATTTTTTATTTGACTCGTATTGAAATAGTTCTTATGAAATTAATAAATGGGATATTGATCCTTCTCGTACCACGAAAAATCCGTTATCATTTGTGAGGTAAAAATGGCTCCGTTGGCCTTCGCGTCAATACCGATAGAAAATAACTAATTATAAAATTATATTTATTGGGGTTTTGTATGGAAATTATAAAAATACTCCGAGTACGATTGTGGCGGAGGTTCGATAGTGTCCTGGAGAGCTGAAGCGAATGTCGTAAATTTCTACTACATTTGAACCATTTCAAAATATTTTATTTGTAAAGAATATAATATGTAACCCTCTCGAACAGCGAATACTCCGTTATGTTTATTAAATTATTAACATTTTTTTTAACTAAAGAATACCCTTAAAACCCTTGTACTCTGCCGCATTTTAATCTTATAGTCAAACTGATAGAAGTAGAGTAGAAGTATACCTATAGCCAATATGATATTTTAGATTAAAAAGCCAG